CCGGGATTCATCCACAATACGCATGGCCGAAAGCGGGTTACCCGCCTTCGAGTTTATCAGCAAATGATGCAACGGTCATGATCGGCCCACCGGAGTGATAGCTGCACCAGACTGTTTACCTGAATGAGTTCCATAATAAATATTACGTTTATAGGTTGAGGTAGTTCTTATTGGGTAGGGACGCCGTTGCTTGATGCCTCCCCGCCGATCGTACGCACAGCCCGGGAGCCAAAACGTAAACAATTCATAACCCGCCTTTTGGGAGCTCGCTAATCCGGGCTCTAAACCGCTTCAACGAGAAGCCATTGGTTGGTAGGACGTCCTGATTGTAAACAAAAGCAGCATGATCGGTTTCCGATAAACGCTGCCAGTTTGTCCAGGTTCGGTGGGACAGGTGCTGTCTAAGATAAGTTTGAATCGAGCTATTAGGAGTCCGGATCCCGGTAGTCGGCTGTTTGACGGCAATAGGTCTTGATGGCCGCACTAATGCGTACTAAAGTCCTTACTGGATTAGTCATACCAACTCGTATTTAGAAACTAATGTGTGCCTTGGATTCATTATAAAAATGATCGGGAATGGCGTGCTACCTACTCAACAACCGTCCCGAAGCCCGTTGTGATTCTACCGGGTGCCACGGACGCTGGTCAGGTTTTGCCAACCGTCGGTTGGCCGCCCGATTGGGGAGCCTGCCCAAAACGCCTGATCAATTCGAAACCGAAATCATTCGTTCAGCTCTGGTATGAGCGTCTCGCCTATCGACAGGAGATGGATGGGGCTAGGCTATTATCTTTATAAAATCATGAAAATGCACGAACCGCAAGGTCTTGTCAACTAAACGGGCTTGTTGCCAGGCCGGCCCAATCCCGGTATGATCCGGGATGCAACCAAATGGTCTCGCCCTGGCCAATAAAGCCCTTTAGCGGATCGGTTGGATTGGCCGGATCATTGATCCATTGGGTATCCAAGAGGGCTTTATAGCCCATAGTGAACTGTTCGATGGTCGTAGGATGCTGTCTCATGGGAGCAATGCTTTAGCGAGCAGCTAGACCGACAGCGGAGTAGTTCGGGGTCGGAGAAGGGACTCAGTGAATACTGATAAGTGTATAAGCCAATTGTGGCTCATAAGGTTCATGGCTAATTTCTTATCGTCCATAATCATCCTTGGATGAGTTGGGTCAAGCGGATCGGGTTGTCCTGTGGAAGTAGGACTGGATAAACGCGTAGACTGCGGATGGCGATGAACAGATAGTAGATAAAGTACGATCTTATGAAACCCTCGTTTGAATGTAATGAATATAAATGGTCTACTTTTTATTTGATTCATATAAATACTGACAGGATGAGGAATTATCCGGGCCCGCAACGGCGGACCGTGCCGGGCGGTACGATTCTGCAAAACTGCCCCACATGCTGCACGGCTCCCTTTTATTTCTCTTTCTAACCCAAGCCGCTTTATGGCCGCTGCGTAATCGATTTGGAGCTGACGCAGGGTCTGGGGCTAAAAAACTCTTTAGCCAATAGCCGATTGTCAGATGTAATCGGCACCACGATAGCGTGAAAATGGGTGTCTTCTCGTCCTGTGGCAGCGTGAAGGCGACCAGGGTAGACACGTAACTCTGTTTCATAAACTCCAGGTTGGCTTTCCACCCAATCCGAGTCCCGAAAGTCTTCGGTAACTTGGCCTGTATGGTCTCGGCTAAAGGCCTACATACTAGCTATGAGAATGAACGCCGGATCGAGGTGCAGGTGTTCAGGATCGGCATTGGGTACATGACCCTGATGGTAGTTGTGATCAGACTCACCGCCGATAGTTCCGGCTCCCTTAACCTTGGCAACTCGACAAACCGCTTTCATGCTTTTTTCCGCCTTTATTCTATTGGTCCTATAAACGCGCATTATACTTCTGTAAAAGAACTGGGCTGCTAAAAACTGCTGAATTAATGATTATTGAGTGACATACGATCCCGTATAAGATAATATAAATGACTTGTTATCAAATGATTATAATTATAAATAAACGGTTTTTATTAATTATTAAACCATAACCTTTGCATGTCTCCGTAATAACCTATTGTACTTAAAAAGCATCACGATGGATAGAATAAAACAGATTCTAATTGTTGATGATGATCCTGACTATATCCATTTAGTTGAAAGGGCCTTGTCGGCTTGTCATTCTCCTTGTACTCTAAAATCACTTTCGAGTGGAGATAACTTGTTAGTATGGTTAAAGACAAGTCAACGACCAAGCTTGATTCTTTTGGATATTGATATGCCAGGAGTTTCAGGATTTGACACCTTGAGTCAATTAAAGGCAATTGAAAGATATAAAGTTATCCCAGTTGTCATAGTATCGATGTCAACTGAAAAACAAGATATGATCTACTCTTACAATAATGGAGCGAGCGGTTATATTAAGAAAGCAGAAACCTTCGAAGAGTTGAAGGTGTCGATGCAATTGTTTAGTCGGTATTGGGTAGACACTGCTTATACACCTGACAGTTCTTGGTCTAAGCCAGACGACTTTAGTTATAAGTAAGATGTATGCCTAACTTTTCATGTTTTTTCAAGCGTATCTCACCACATACAGTTGGGGTGGCCTTTGAAAAACCTATTATTAAAAACGTGTCGTAGCCACCTTAGTATGGATTCCCTTTTTTTTTGGTTGTTAGGCGTTCTGCTTTTGGCGGGTATTGGTCGGGTCGTGCTTCGAAAGTGGTTGGAAAAAGATTAGTCATTAAAATCTTAGTCGTTAACTAGGTGACGGGTAAGGAGATTGGCCCTCCTCTTTTTTAAACAACAAGGGGGATTTGTTATTTAAAAAAGAGGAGGATTAATACCAGATATATCAATGGTAATTAGTCATCTCGCGACAAGGCTGCCCTATTTATCCGTAACCCATCCATGTTCTGTAGTTCATGCCCAACTCCCATCAAATCGATGAAATT